AGAGTAAAATAGATACTATATATAATGCATGCTAGACTCATGGAATCACGTTCTAAACCTTTTGGAGTGACTTAAGGTCGTTTCACCTTCGATTAACATTATGGACATCATACCATCAATATGAGCTTCTATAGGATTCAAGGATCATACATACTTGCTTAAAATAACTTATAAGGAAAGAACAACATGAGCAACCTTAGTTTCTAGGAGTAAATCCGTTATAAAATAGCGTATTTATTTCACTTTAGATCATGCCGAAAGAAAAAGGGAAGTGCCTTAACATACCTTAACCATGGTGAGTCTTTAATACCTCCCAAGCTACTCTCCAAACAACTCAACTCAGTCTACCATTGCATAAGGAGATTCAAAATCAGTGTTGAATAAAGGCTAAGTCTGCAACTTAAACTTGTAGCTCGTTTATATAAATTCGGGCAGCATCTCCCCTGTAACAAGAGCCTCCTCCAATATCATATACCAACAACAATTACTAGAGAAATCCAGCAATACATAATTATCAATAACAAGACACCATAAAACAACAACAAGTCATAACTATTTTACGACGAGCGACAAGCTCCAATTGGAATTCGTATACCCATATCATCCCTTATAGACTTTTTAATTTAACTCAATAGTATCATTAACATGATAATGGAGTCATTCATCAATAATTCTAGCCTTATACCATATATCTATAATAAAGAAAATGATCCACAACTCCAATTATTCTTAATTAGCAACTTTATTATCTAGTTCATCCATTTAACTTAACCAATGCCAAGATAACCTTAAGAACATGTAGGAACACAATATATTTACCTCATACAGTATATGCAAGTCGAAACCCATATTATATTTAGCTTACAACAACCCAATACACCCTAATCAATTCATATCCAAAACGACGACTATAGTAGTGTCAAACATAATGACTAATCCATGATTTTGCCATTATGTGGTATTTATCCACACCATTTATCCTCCAAAAAACTCCATTTGACAACAACAAAATAGACAGCCCAAAAGCTACACGAAACAGCCTAAGAACATCCATTACAAGTCAAATAACTCGAACTCACGGCTTCCGATCACTGTCCCATGAGTTCTAACTATTATGAAATCAATTAATCAACCTTCCTTGATATTTAAGAGATTAAAACCAGAAATTAAGAATTTTCTTAGCTATTAAATACCTTTCAAAACTCAAACTACAAAGAAAAAGAGAGGCAATATAGCAATACTTACGCAGTGGGGATCGTTCTAGTGTTATTGCTTCTTGATTTCGTGCCCAGAATGATGGTATTATTTGAAACCCTTGTAGAGAGCTTAAGGTTGATGTTAGGGGTCTTGTTTGGTCGTGCTCTGGAAATATGCAGAAAGAGATGAGATAAAGGAGATAATTTCCATTTTGTTGAAAAGTCAAAAGGTGATACTTGGCACCCTATAATTGGCTCGTCTTCCAACGCTTATAACTTTTTATCCGGGTATTGTATGAGCAAACGGTTAAGAGCGTTGGAAACTAAATTCCAAGACCTTCAATTTGGTATATAATATATCCCAAAAAGACCTCATATAGCACACGAAATTTATTACTCAAAAAGCTTCATTACAAGGCAAATCCTTAGTCGGTTTTTCCGCAACTTAAATCCGATCATCCTCAAACTTTATACTTCATATACAAACATCATATATAGTCATATCATGGCTTTAAACTCATTTAAATCATGATTAAAAAGTCTCATATTCATCTTAACTTGCTTAACACTTCGGCAAACCTTTCTTGTCCTTATAGAAGGATTTCATCCTTTTTGAGCTTACATCAATTGACTCACGACGTACTTTCAGGTACAAAAACATGGGTTGTAACATTTACCTTCTCATCAATTTTATTTTTTTTCCCTTTATGTATAGTCTTTTTTCATGGTTCTCACGATTTTACTTTCTAATTTAACTCAAATTCTCTAAATTAACTATTCCTTTTTGTCACATTTGATTGATCCACACACCAGAAAGCCAATTTTTTTTGTGTCTCATATTTTTTAACTAAGAAATCCCCGAGACAATTATCGTAAGGTTCAAAACACATGGATAATGGGCTCACCATTTACCATTTTCACTTAAGGAAGAATTCAATGCCATATGAAGTGTGCTTAACTCGTACATCATGAGTTGCGCTCTCACCACTAGATCAAAGTCATGTATTTTTTTTGTGTCTCAATACTAAATAGATTTTACGAAAAAGGTCTGAATATGTCCTTGTACTATACGAAATTGAGCACATTTGCCCTTCGTTAGTACTTTGGTTCATATATGCCCTTATCGTCATATATGGACCAACTATATGATGATGAGGGCATATATGGACCAAAATATTAATGAAGGGCAAATGTACTCAATTTCGTATAGTACAAGGACATATTTGGACCTTTTCCATATATACTATAAACAACAAGTATGAAAAAAATGGCAAGATTAACTTTTTTGTATATATATGTTTATACATACTAATAAAAAAAAATATAAAGCCTCTTATTAAAATTTGACTTTAGGCCACTAATTTTATGGAGCCGTCCTTGGTAGGCGTCCGCAGAAGAGAAGCCGTGGCAAGCTTAACCTATTTTGATCCACTTTGTAAGCAGGATGTACTGAAATCTTGGTGGCATTGCGAGTTCATCCTCAGCTCTTTGAACACTAGTCTGATCCATATCTGCATTGTTTACACCTTTATAACTTTAAGCTGAGTTTTGCATGTACCGTTAAAGAAATAGATTTTTATTTAATCCCATTTCACCACCTTATAGATTATATTACTGTATATTGAAAGAAGGGAATTCTTATTCTGTTAAAGTTAAAGTAATCTAACGTATGAAATTACATGATTCTTTATTTATTATTTTTAAAAGATAAAAATAAGAACCCTTTTTTTCTTTTTTGATAATCTGTGATTGAGTAAATAGCTCTATGAACAAATGGAGTAGATCAAAAGTGCATATTCTGGCACAATTGTCAATATTATTATTTACGTATTTGGTAAATATCAAAAGTGCATTATAAATCATGTGTATACGTTAAATAAGTCAAAAGCTATAAGTTATTCACCTTCAATTTATAGTATTTAAACTTATAAGATTTTTGGTTTGACCAAATATTTTATTATTTTATTCCTAATACTTTTTGTAATTTCCAAAATGCCTTTCCCAAAACAAAAACTCTCAACTCCATTTCATCATTCGTCTTCTTTCACGTTAAATAGCTTTAAAAGTGTATGTTCCCTTCGTTTCAAATTATACGATATAGTTTGACTCGACACAGAGTTTATGAAATAAGAAAACTTTTAAAATTTATGGTCTTAAAAGCTTAAAAAGTACAAGCTTTGTAGAGTTATTACATTTGTGTAGCTACAAAAACTTCTCATTAAAGATAAAATGAGTAAAATGAAAAGTTTAAAGTTAAATTGTTTCTAAATATAATATATTTTATTCTTTATGTAATAGACTAATAAGAAAAATATGTCATATAATTTGAAACAAAAGGAGTATTTATTAAAAATAACTTTAAAGATATTTCAAACATTTCAATTGAAAAATGCTTATCAGCACTTTCGTGGCAACTTCAGTCGTCACTAAAGGTGAAAGTCCACAACCGCGGTAGTTTGAATTATACATTTTGTGGCAACGTTAGTCGCCGCTAAAGGTCGATTAGGTGACAACATTGAGGCGACTTCAGTCGCCAGAGAAGGACAATTAAATCGCCACTAAAGACCAATAAAAGCGCCAGTAGGATTAGCGACTTACTTTTTGTGGCAGCTCCAGTTGCCACTAAAAGCAAATAGGGGCCCAGTAGAATTGGCGACCTACCTATTTACTTTTTGTAGCAATTTTAGTTTGCCAGAAAAAGTCTATTTGGTCGCCACTAAAAGGCCATAACGGCACCAGTACAGTTAATGACCTGCATATTCTCCGCCTTTTGTGGCAACTTTGTCGCCATTAAAAGCAAATAGGGGGTGCCAGTAGAATACTTCTTTTTAGCAATTGTTAGTCGCCACTAAAAGGCCAACAATGGCGCCAGTACAATTAGCGACCTACCTATTCTCGGCTTTTTGTGCTGGCTTCTTTTTTGATTTAAACCGAGTTTTGTAGGTTCAATTAAGCTCATAACTTTGTCAACCATTCTTAAACGTGGAGCTAATTGGGAAACAGTTGATGAAAATATTCTCTGAGATGCCATTATTCTTTGCCAAGTTGAACATTAATGCATTTTGCCGCCCATTTAAGAAAAATCAGACATATGCCTTTTTTAAGGTAAACCACTCAAGTGAAACTGCTAATTTCCTGGAATGATTCAAGGACCCAATGGGAACTAATGTAATAGTCCAGCCCGCTAGTGATATTGTACTCTGTTAGTCTAGCCCCTTACGAGTTTAAAACGCATCATTAGGATCTAAGACTTGTTAATTTATATACTCAGCATTCCTCTTGTGTTTTGCCCATGTAAAACTCTGTCTAAAGTCTACAGTCTACACTAAAGTCAAGTATGTCAATGTCAACCTTCTATTAATTCTTGATTTTGTTATAACAAATTCCAAAAAGTTGGAAATGAAAATGTGCCATGAGTTATTGTCTGTTTGAAACTTTGAATGGAAACTAGTCAGAGTCTTATGTCAAGAATGCCTATATTAGTTTTTTCTATTAGTTATAAATCGAGTCAGTTATAAGATAATTATAAGTAATTGCTATAATAAATATTAATTAGTGATAAAATGATAAGTAACCTATAATGATAGGTTAAACTACATTGAAGCTGTACATTGTCAATGTATATAACTTAAATTCATAACAAATCTCTAAGAGTCGGATCCATCAAAGGATGTGGTGCGGATGGGGCTTCTCTTCCATTAATCAGAGGTCTCGGGTTCAAACCCTGGGTATGGAAAAACCCTTGGTAGGGAGTGTCTCCCTCCGAATGGGACCCTAAGCGGCGCGAATTCGGACATAGTTGGGCTCCAATGCGGGTACAGGACAACAATAACAACAACAACAACAACAACAACCACCTAGTATAATCCCGCATTAAGAAGGCATTAAGAAGACAGAGAGGTTGTTTCCGGAAGACCCTCGGCTCGGGAGGGGAAAAGGAAAGTGGAGGGTGCCGTACACCGGGCGATCCAGAGAGGCTGTTTTCGGAAGATCCTCGGCTCGAGAGGGGAAAAGGAAAGGGGAGGATGCCGTACACCGGGCGATGCAGAGAGGCTGTTTCCGAAAAACCCTCGATTCGAGAGGGGAAAAGGAAAGGGGAGGATACCGTACACCGGGCGAGAATACAAAAAATAAAGTTTGAATGGCAACTAGTTGGGGTCTTAGCCAACTAAACTCCTATTGTCTATTTTCAATAATCTTTTCTTATTGTCCTTGGTCAATAAAAATGGGCAGAAGAGCCCAAATTTGAAAATCTTTTACACCTCATGAAACAGACTGGATATTGTTATACATTAATATTATATTTGATATAACTATGCATACCAAATCCAACTCATACAACTTGCCAAAATTTTATTTAGAACTTTGTAAACCCATAGATTAATAACTCAATTTGCAGATGATTTGTATTAATAATACACATAAAACAAGGGAGGCACATGTATACATATAATAATATAATCGAAATACCCTTGACTATTTAAAGAAACATCCACCTTTCTTCTTATTAGACATGTGAAATTTCCAGGGTGTGGAATTGTTTAGTATAGTTAGTTTTGACATAAAGGGGAGCATCCAATGATCCATTTTTAAAGCTAAAAGAGAGAAAAGAGCAGAGTTTTCAAGAATCAGGTTCTAAAATGGAACAAAATACCTTCGAAATAGGGATACAAGAAACTGATGGTGACATTCAGCAAAAGAAAAAGATAGCCAAGAAATGGTGTGTTGAAGCAAAGAAGGTGTGGCAAATAGCAGGACCAGCTATTTTAAATGCAATCTCTTTGTTCTCCCTTGAGTTTGTCACAGCTGCATTTGCTGGAAGATTGGGAGATTTAGAGCTTGCTGCAGTATCAGAAGTTCATAATGTTATAGCAGGCTTTGTATATGGAGTCATGGTATGGTAATAAGCTCTTGTTTAATTGCTTTTTGACCCTTTTGAGATTTGCTTCAAATGGAAATTATATTTTCTTGTGGCCTATAGGTCACGGGTTCGAGCCTTGGAAGCAACCGTTGGTTGTCTATATTACACCTCTTGTGGTGCGGCCCTTCCCCGGAACCCGCGTAAATGCGGGTTGCTTTGTGCACCGAGCTGACCTTTTTATACTTTCCTGTGGCACATAGTTAACACAATCCTGAATTGGTTAATAACATAGACAACGATAGGATCTAAAGTAAGTGGATTCATAATGAGTATGACTTTGTTATATATACATATTTTAAATGTTCTTTATGCATATGTTTACATAGTTCGAGCCAAAAAATAATAGGTTAACTTGTACCCACAGAACCTACTTGCCTGGTTAATAAGCAAAGTCAAACCTTTCTATAACAGCCTTGTTTGTTCCAAATATTTTTTTGGCTGTTATAGCAAATTCCTGTTATAGAGAACATATATTATAACACAGTATGAAAAGTTAGTTCCAAAGTAAACTTGGCCGTTTATTGAAGTGTTGTTAGAGTATGTCTGTTATAGAGAAATTTGACTGTATCTAATTTAACATGATTTGGATCTTTTTGTTAAAGATTTCATTTGCATTGTTAATTCTTTGGGTATTAGTTAGGGATGGCAAGTGCTCTGGCAACACTTTGTGGTCAAGCAGTGGGAGCAGGACAGTTCAACATGCTTGGAGTTTACTTGCAGAGATCATGGATCATTACTGGATTTACATCTTTGTTGCTCACGCCAATGTTCGTCTTCACCTCGCCAATACTAAAGCTCCTACGTCAAGATAAAGACATATCTCATCTTGCAGGAAAATATGCAATTTGGATCATTCCTCAAATGTTTGCATATGCTCTCAACTTTCCTATGCAAAAGTTTCTTCAATCTCAGAGTAAAGTTTGGTTCATGGCCATCACTTCAATGGGAGGATTGGCAGTTCATGTATTGCTGAATTGGGTTCTTGTAGTAAAGGTAGGGTGGGGACTTTTTGGCGCTGCAATTGCTGGAAATGTTTCTTGGTGGCTTTTGGACATTGCTCAGTTTGTTTACATCATCTCGGGCTATTTTCCCGAGGCATGGACTGGTTTTTCATGTCTCGCTTTCAAGTCGTTGACTAACTTCTTGAAGCTATCACTTGCCTCTGCAATAATGGTGTGGTAAGTTGTGAATGGAAACTTGATAGTTTGTACTAGACTTGAGTAATGTTCAACTTGTACCATTTTTTTTGATGTGGCTAATTGAATGGTTTCAGTTTGGAGTTTTGGTACTTCACAGCAGTGATTCTAATGGTAGGAGGCTTTAAAAATGCTACAACTTCTGTTGACGCCATATCGATCTGGTTAGTACAATGTGGCTACGTTCTTGAGATACAGTCAAACATCTCTATAACAATCTCGTTTGTTCCAACAAAAATTGGTTGTTATAGCGAAGTGTCGTTATAGAGAACATATATTATAACATAGCATGGAAGTTGGTTTCAAAAGAAACCCGGCTTTTATAGTAAATGATTGTTATATAGCGATGTTGTTATAGAGAAGTCTGATTGTACTTTACATCCTTCACCTTTCGGTTTAACTTATATATACCGACAATTTTTGAGATAACCTCCCATTTCTTGTCTCATAAATTTTGATTCTTGATTTTCTCTTTCGCTACCAATCCTATTTGTTAACCAACTGATCTGGATATGGCAGCATCGGTTTGCAACTATGGACACTGACTGTCGCCTATGGTTTCACATCTTCAACCAGGTTAGTTGCCTCACCTTAACAATGCATAGCGGAAGAAGGTCGAATAAACCACAAGAAAAAGGGATGAAAACAGTCCCAAGAAAACTAGTAGGAGTAATGGTTTTGAAGCATGTAACCTTTATGTGATTTTCGTTATCAAAACTAACTTGGATGATAACATTTTTCTGCTTCTGTTCGATTAATTTTCCCTCGTTTGGTTGGAAATATACACTGAGATTATTCTGGTATTGCAGTGTGAGAGTTTCAAATGAATTAGGAGCTGGAAATCCAAAAGCTGCAAAATTCTCAATTTCAGTCAATGTTTTGATATCAGCAGTAATTGGCCTTGTATTCTCAGCTACAATATTAGCTACCAAAAAAGAGTTCCCAAGATTATTCACAAATGAACAACATGTGATAAGGGAAACATCAAAACTAGTCTACATTCTTGCTGCTATCATGTTTCTTAATGGCATCCAACCTGTTCTACTCGGTATATTTCTCTCTCAATTTTACTGATTGACATACTTTCGTCGTATATAATATGCATAATTTCTCACAATTCCGGGCTGAATATAGCACAAATTTAGAAATAAAATGAAGTTCATGAAACTAACAACAACAACATGCCCTGTATATTCTCACATGTGGTGTTTGGGGAGGGTAGTGTGTATGCAGGCCTTACCCCTACATTATGCAGATAGATAGGCTGTTCCAGAGACCCTCGGCTCAGGCAAGCACAATTAGAACAAGTTATAAAGGTCATTTGAACAAGTTATAAAAACATTTTCTTGTTACTAGACAGCCTAACATGTAATTAGAACCTATGAAAACTACTTATTATAGCATGTCATGAACTTTTGATCAAATGGGGTTGTTACCTATGTTGCGTGGACTCTCCAAAATGCTGCCATACCCGTATCGGATCCTTCAAAAATACACTACTTTTGGAGGATTGTACGCGCACCTGTCAGTATTTACCGAGAGTCCAAGCAACATAGGTTGTTACTAATAGTTTCGGGTTAAAGCACCAACTCAGGAAAAGGAAAAGGAAAATATTGAACATGGAAAAGTAGATGTAGAGCATAAATATTAATCCAATTTGCAAAATACAGGAGTGGCAGTTGGTGCAGGATGGCAGCTTCAAGTGGCCTTAATTAGCATTGGATGTTATTATGGTTTTGGATTACCAATGGGTGCATTGCTTGGTTACAAGTTCAAATTTGGAGTTGAAGGCATACTTTCTGCTATGCTTGCTGGCAGCTTGCTTCAGACCCTCTTCCAGTTTGTTATCATTGCTCGCACCAGTTGGCACAAACAGGTATTATGACTTCCTTTTTCATGACGGTGATGTCTGAGTCAACTTGTGTGCACTTCGACAATTCAATCGGATAACTCCACTAGTTATGATATTAATGTATCAGTAACGGAAGCCTTGGATCAACAGTAAAGTTGTCTCTGTGTGACCTATAGGTCACAGGTTGAGCCGTGGAATCAGGGTAGACCGCCTACATCAGGGTTCGGCATATGCTTGGTGCACCTGGTTGCCCTTAAAATGTATAGGATACTGGCATGGTAACTAAGAAATGAAATTATATTTTTCAGGCTCTTCAAGCAGAGGAGAGAGTGAGAACATGGGGTGGTGAAGTGGAGAATCAATCAAGTCCTGCTATAGGCAAGTCCTGTTCAATGGATTCCTAATTCAATTCAATAAAGGAAACAAACAAGTGAAACTCGATCCTATTTTAACACAAGGCTAAGTGTACATTATTGATGTTGGCATCTCTGGGTAAGCTCACTCCAATTGTTGCCTTCTTCTCCTATTATAAATCTTTCTACATTGTAAATTTGTATACATATTCATCAGTCTGTTTATAGACTTTATGAGAGGTTAATATAAGGCAGAGAATCAGCTTAAGTTTGATTCTGCATATTTGCTTCTTGTCTTGTGTTGTTTTATTTTTTATTGCCTAGCAAATGTGGCAAGTTGTGGCTACTTCAACTTCCCATCCTTTTAACATTATAAAAAAAAAAAAAAAAAAAAAAAAAAAAAAAAAACAGCACAGTGCACTAAGCTCCTACTATGCGCGGAGTTCGGGAAAGGGCTAAAACCCTTCTGGTCTACTGTATGCAGTCTTACCCTGCATTGTTACAAGAAATTATTTTCACAACTCAAACCTATGACCTCCTGGTCACATGATAACAACTTTATCAATTACGCCAAGGCTCCCCTTCATTCTTTTAACATTCTTTATGGTAAATATTGAGGCGCACATGTACATTACAGTCAGTAGTTTGCTGGCTTTCGAAAATGATATATTGATTACTCGTTGCGTAGTAGCCTGTAGTCCATATGACACTATTCATTTTAAGACGTTTCATAATATTTGACACCATTCTAGTTTTATATAACTTTCATTAACTTTTAAGAATTTCAAATTTTAAACTATTCACACTTAAACTTTGATATTGATGTTTGTTTTCTTTCAACCATTAGTTTAGTATTTTCATCTATCATGATCACTATATTACATAATCCAAATTAACATCTTAAACTCCATATTCAATGAAATACCGTCACATAAATAAAATAGATAAAGTATTTAAATATGTCGGGATGAAACTAGCTAATGTCAGCATGTCACTCTATTTGACTCAAAAGATATTGAAATCTTTTTGAACAAATCAATCAAAGATGAAGGGGTAAATCATAGTTAAAAATAATTAACTCTAGATCCGCGATGAATAATATGAATAGAAAAACATACCCGAGTATAAATATTGGCCGTGATTATGGCCAGATTTAATAACATAAAGAAAGATGCATTAAGTAACATTAAATGACAATAAAATGTGAATAAAGGAAATTATTTACCAAATCTTGAGTGGAGCGGATTATCTTTCATTTGATAAAGACGAATGATAACAGATACAAGAACCTTAAGACCCTTTTTAGATTTGATGAAGGTTTGGGATCACAGATCCTCTAATTTCTTTAAAGAGGTATGTTGTCACGACCCATTTTCTAAACAAGCCGAGACCGGCACTCGATCACTAAACCTGATCGAGCGAACTATCTCTGCTTATTCAATCTATTATAGCTCCACACTTTATATGCAACAAAGCAATACTCTAACCAAATACTCTTGATTAATTCAAATATTTAAATAAATCAACTCCAAAACTTTATTCATAGTAACTACTGAATTATTGCTAAGTTATTATAAAATAACATATGAATCTCAACCAAATAACTATGTCTATGAAGCCTCTACTGATAAACTGATGCACTGCTTAGGACATGAGATTTCCTGGTCAGTTCTCTAGATAAATAAAGAAATAGCTAAATGACAATGACTCTAAGAATACTCCACGAACAAAGCGGAGCTCACCAATATCACTAGAAGGGAAGGAAGTCCTAACTCGTAACCTGCTCGCCTGCAAATCCGGTTCCTACGTTATACCGCAGACCAACATAGGTTCCCAAAAGAGAACGTCAGTACCATCCATTGTACTCAGTGAGT